TCTGACTCTTTTAGTTTTAGGACTTACAAACAACCGTTATGTGAACAAAACTATAATACTCTCTTTAGCAACTTTGTTGCGAGAGTATAAAAAGGGCTCCGGTTGTAACCGAACACTTTATACTTTTGCTATTGCAAAAAAAAAGCCAAAGGAAATACTTTAAGGTGTAAAACCAATCATATGTATATAGTAAAGTCAGACAGAAGATCGAAAATCCTGATATTAGTTATATAGGGGCTAGGCCAAGTTACCAAATTTATCTATTTGAGGCACAAAGATACACTGTTATGAATAAAATACGCTCTCTTATTTTCATTGGGATAACTCACATATTGGCCGATATATGCGGTACAAAGTCACCCTGAAGTTCGAAAGTCATAGTTTAAAAATGCCACGCCCACAGTTTAAAAATGCTTGAACAAAACTATAATACTCTGTAGCAACTGGTTGCAAAAGTATACAAAAATTATTATTAAACCAAACAAATTAAAAAACAATGTCATAGTGATATCAATTCGTAAAAACTTTTTCTATATAACATTTAGATTTTTCTTCGACGGTTAAAATTATATCTTTCTTATACATTGGGAGATGTGAAAAATATTAGACCATATAGTATATGATATTAGCCTTCCACCTCAAGTTCTAGCATATTATTAAAACTGAGCTTTCTATCTACAGCTATGCCAGCACGCTTAGAATCGAGGAGCGACAGTTCATTAGACTGCGTGCCATGCATTGGGATGATGCAATCGGAACCGATTGATTGCTATGTCACGCAACTCAGGTGCGCGGAATGCAACGCATGGCATGCCAATAGCTTGTTGTTGCCAAAATATGCGTCAACAAGAGGCATATTTGGCACAAAGACTGCAACAGTTGGTGTTTTGGCGAATAGCCTCTAGGATGTCAAATGAGTGTAGTGGGGAAACGAACGAGAATGTCATGCATGGCGTGGTGAGATATTGGCAGTTATTCGAAATTTATTTTTTTATTCTTTATTTCTCGCATAGATACTCATTTCATTATATTTCACTTCAATAGTTTATTTTGTAGACTTTTTCGCCAAGAAACATCTGCTTATACTTATTATTTTGTGTGCATTTCTTGCATTGCTGACTATTTTAAATGCACATCTGTTCGAATTCTTTGATTCTTCCTTTTGTTGGTGACTATTCGTTTGTGAATATTTAATTTAAGCAACACATTTCTACACTTTTAATCGTTGAGATATTCACACTATTTTTACTTGATTTTTTTAAATGTTTGACATTTTTAGTTGGGTAAATGATAGAAGCGAAACACGTGACATTTTTCGGTGAGCTCATGACGTATCGAAATTTTACTTGCAACACCTCTACACAGCTACGTATTCAGTATACGTGTACATACATATGTATATATGTATGTATTTACAATGCAAAAGCAGTCACATTTTATGTTGACGCATCGGGTATATTTACACATATGTACATAACTGAAAAAAATTGCATTTGAAGAAGGGGGACGTTACGTACAAATATCGGGTGATAAAAATTATTGAAATTGCAACCGGCTTCTTAACAAACGTTAAGTATAACTTAGAGTGGGTCTTAACATAACTACTTATGTGTTTGTTTATATAGTATATGTATGTATGTGTGCCAGTGAGATAATGATCATTTCTCTGTTTATAAATTTAAACGAACTAATCTAATTGTTATTATTTTGTATGCTTTTCTTTTGTTTTCAAAGAAAATCCACACCATGAACTGTATCAATATTTTACTCTCCAGTTTTGACTATCCACATAGTTCTTTATGCATATAATATGTACACGAGTTGCAAAACAACACTCTACTTTGTATTCATATGAAGCTTAAGTGTTTAAGCAAACATATGTACATATGTATGTATACAGAACTATACATATGTGATATAAATATTTGTTATTTCTAATTACCAGTCTCTCTGTCTACAATGCAATGTAAATACATGTATGCTCGTATGCACTCTGCACTAATAGCAACTAGTTCCAAGCTACTTTACAACTAATATCAACCGCAAGCGTAACTACTCCACCGACTGTAATGATTGTAGGCGCTGTCAGATTTTAATCAATTATATACATACACATTTCACACTTAAAATCATTAAATTACAATACCAATATGATATTCTTTAACCTATCTTTTCAGTAAAAAATTTAATTTGAATTTTCATCACATCGTACATTTTTAATTAAAGAACGCAAGTCAACTACTTTCTTTTTCCAAATAGTTTTCTAATATTAATATGAATCGAATATCAGTCAGAAGACTAGTTCGATTTTAGTCCAAAATGTGATAACTGGAATTTTCTGAATAGTTTGATTCTTCTCAGCGGTATACATATGTATATACATATGTACTATATGTACGTATCAATTTTGTAGATTCTTGTATTATTCTACTTATTTGTCTCCACGCGAGCAGTGCAAAATGCGCCAACGCACATAAATATCTAATGCCAAAGCAGAGAGTCAAAATAAATACGAAAATTTTCCATTCACACTGTTCAACTTGAGAGTGAATAAAAATTACGACCGCATTGACACACCATTCGCTTATCTGTATCTCTTAGTTGGGGGCATACAAACATAAATACCTAATAATAATAATACATAACATACATACATGCCTTACATATATGTACTATTCAAGGGTAAAGTTGACGATACCTAGTCTGTCACTGGTTTATTGGTGGCCAATTGACTTAATTTCAATTAAAGATGCGAAAAGAACACTTAACCATTATAAAGGTTATTTGCTTGTTGTCTGATAACTCTCAAAATAAATAGTAAATACTCAACAGCTGTTCTTCTTCTGGTCTTCCACAATAACCCATAACGGCAAAGAGATATGTAAACTCGTCTCAACCTTTTCAACTATCAATCTTACAAACCGATCTATACAATACAACAGGCTATTAACATGTCACTTACTAAAAAACTAATCATATAGAGTAAAGTGAGGCGGATCATCGAAAATCCTGATATTAGTTAAATGGGAGGTAAGTCAAGTTTTCGCTCAAATTTATTTATTTTAGGCACAAAGATACACTGTTTCAAGTAAAATATGCTCTTTCATATTCATAAAGATAACTCACATATTGGCCGATATTCATACATATGCAGTATAAAGTCACCCAGAAGTTCGATGATCTTTATATTTGATATATCTGGCTGTATTGGTCTGATTCAATCCATTTCTGCCATACAGACGTATGTACCATTGTCAAAAAATACTATACCATTTTATATATACCAATTTCAATTATATATCTGAGACATTGACTGATATCTTCGAATAAAAGTCAACTATACGAGGTGTCTTCAAAAACTATCGCGAATTTTGTGTTTTTTCAAAAATTACTTATTTATTCATGAATATCTATTTTGTCCCCTTCAAAGTAATCCCCATGAGATATATACACTTGTGCCAACGGTTTTCCAATCTTCGAAGCACTTCAAAAAATCAATTTTTTTTTATCTTCTTCAGCTCCTCCTTCGATGCCGTCTTTATCTCGTCAAGAGAAGCGTAACGTCGTCCTATCATGGGCCTCTTCAGTTTAGGTAACAAGAAAAAGTCACAGGGGGCCAGATCTGGGGAATACGGTGGCTACGGCATCATTAGTGTGTTGTTTTTGGCCAAAACGTCGCGCACCAGCAACGATGTGTGAGCAGAGGCGTTATCGTGGTGCAAAAGCCAATTTTTGTCACATCTTCCCGGCCTTCTAAGAACATTTTGTACCACCGATTAATGTTGCTTCGGTCCAAGATAGCTTCCCCGTATGCCACAGTCAACATTCGCGCATCCGCGCACTTAATTTAGTTTTTCATACAAAATTTGATACAGGTTCTTTGATCCACTTTTTTGAATAGGTAAAAATCGAAGACGATCCAAAACACGTGCAAG